AAACTGGCCTTAGGTTCTGCTGGACTGATGAGTACAGCAGGTTTTGCTGGGTTAATGAATAAAGTAAATTACCATGCACAAACTCAGGTAGTGGAAGAAGCAATACTTATCTTCCCAATAGTTCATGTAACATTTGAGTATAACATTTGGTATAACATTTGGTATAACTGTTCCAGCACAGCACTGGTTGATTTGGTATAACTGTGAGACTAAGGTAGGTACATTTGACCTAGGACTGTGCATAACATGCCAGAATTAAGCTATGAACTGGGATCTATGGTCCAATTATGGCTTGGATTCTATACATTTCCCCCCCACTTCATCTGTTATGGAGGCAGGAGGCAGTCTTCTGCTGTGGAGCACATTCTTCTTGCACTAGGCACTGTTCAGGCCCTTGAAAGACACTGGTCTTGTGTCTACTCTGATTAGCAGTAGCTCTCCAGGTCTTGTGTAGAGGTATTTCACATCATCTACTACCTGATCTTTAAAACTGGAGATGCCATGGATTAAACCTGGCACTTCATACATGCAAAGCAGCTGCTGTACCACTGAGTCAAGGCCCTGCACCATTAAGCATAGCTTTCAGTTAAACTGCCTAGCTTCCTCTTTAGGCTGAAGGAGGGGACAGATGGGAACTTCATCTCCAACAAGGATTTGATGCCTTAGCCCTACCTAGTGCCATTGTTGCAGCAGTTCTTTAAGATTTTTCCATTATATGCTAAAGCCATTCATGACCTTTGGTCCCTGGCAGCATTAATTGGAACACTGATTATTCAGACATGGAAGCAAAACAAACAGAAGGGGGGAAAAACAGTGCTGAGAGCAAATTGAAAACCAGCTCCAGGTATGTCCCAGATGCACCATCTAGGCCAGCTTTTCTGCATGCACTCTTACAGTATTACATATTACATGATGGAAAGGTAGTGAAGGATAAGGAAACCATAAATTCACAATTTTGTAAAACAAAGTCTCTTATTTAGTGATGTAGACAAAGTGGAGTTGATTTTATACCCTGCCTTTCACTACCCTAAGGAGTCTCAGAGTGGCTTACAATCACCTTCCCTTCCTCTCCCCACAACAGACATCCTGTGAGGTAGGTGGGGCCGAGAGAGCTCTGAGAGAGCAGTGACTGACCCAAGGTCACCCAGCTGGCTTAATGTGGAAGAGTGGGGAATCAAACCCAGTTCTCTAGATTAGAGTCCGCTGCTCTTAATCACTACACTAAACTGGCCCTCTTTGCATTTGAAAACGAAAGTCAAAGCTAGAAGAGAGCTGCAGCTTGCACCTAAGGCACTGTTGTATACTTTAGAAATTATGGACCACAACCAGAAATACTCCCACTTGTCACTTGTAAGTTGTCTTCTGCACATCTCTCTCGTTGTGACAAGTTGAACATACTTTTTGCCCTTTATATGTTCAAGGTAATTGCAAGTCAAGCAATAATTCCAAGGCACAAGCTCAAGGCAATGCTCAGCTTCCCCTTCCCCAAAAACTCTGCTTTAGAAAAAAGGCTTCTTGAACTTTGTGAAGTGATGGTTTAGCCCTTCAAAAGAAGAATCTATCTACTTGCAAGTGTGCCACAGCAAGACATTTTGCCCACTACAGTCCATTCAGTCTACCCTAGAGGAAACAAGATGAATGAAAGGACCCCCCCCCAAAAAAAAAGAGTGTATGAAAGAGGGTTTTTCTACTAAACCTTTCAGAGTGGAGTAGGTATAAGTAAAATTCTCCACTTGTTTGGTGAGTCCATTGCCAATGAAAGACTTATTTAAGCCAAAGAATACTTCAGTTAAGAGAGATACTACAAGTTAGAACAAGAGATGAGGCACAATTCTCACTGTAATCAGAACAGATGGCACACAAGACAATGACGTCTCCCTTCCAAACAATCATGTGCCTTCAGTATATAATTACAAATAAAAGACTCAGTTGAGAAGTGAGACAGTCTCTAGAATGACTGGTTTGATGCTTCAGTTTTATAAACCTTGGCAGGTTATTCAGATGTGGTATTACAGAAGGAAGTTGCATTTATTGTTCTGTAAAAAGGCACTTGAGGTTTGTTTCTGCAGAAGAAGTGGCAGCTGAATAGGAAACTTACTAAAGCACACAGAAAGGGGAAGCCCTCCTGAGTGGCAGTTCCTCAGTACTTCTGACGGTATTTTCCAAGTAAAACACATGACTTACCAGTCATTCATTCACAAATATAGCAAGTCATTCACTTCTACATGCTGCCGTAACTATGATTCCACTGTCTCCAACAGTGGCTGATACGTTAAAGTATTTTTTAAAAGAACCATCAGTTTGAAGTCCCTCTCCTTCCCCCCAAATGCAAGAGAATACAGCCCTTGATTTTACTGACTTTACTGTATTCAAGCAGCCAATATGTTTACAAAAAAAAGAGAGAGCCCTCTACTGACCCTGCAGCAGGGCAGCAACAAAAACAGTTCTGGTATACAGTAACTTTACAAAGACAGCTGCTCTTCAGCCTGCTCTTTGGCCTGTTTTTCTAAAAGCAGACCTGCTGCCCATCTTGACACTGATTTGCATTTTGCAGATAGCAACAGAACGCATTAAAAATACACCATTTTGTATTGTATACTCTCAATCTCCTTTTGTCTGTACTGTACACAGCTATCAGGGATAAGGAACACCACACAGAGAAAACTCATACTGACTAATGAAGCCCAGAGCTGCTCCAGGAGTGTCATAAATCACGGGTCTTGCTTATAAGCATTCCTTGGCCTGACAAAGAGTCTTCTGTAGCTGTTTGTACATTTTTGTGCTGGATAGGCTTTAATGTGAGAGTTGCTACAGAAGACTAGCAGTGCAATCCTAAACAGAATTACACCCTTCTTACATCCATTGATTTCGAAAGGATTATTTCTGTTTAGGATTGCACTGCAGACAGCTTAGGCAATTTTGGTTTTGCTTACCAGCATCTCTGGTTTGTCTTCTTAAGAACCTGACCACCATTTCTCCTGGTAGGTTATTTTTTTAATGTAATTGGAGTATGCCCTATGGCAGTGATGGCGAAACATTTAGAGACCGAGTGCCCAAACTGCGACCCAAAACCCACTTATTTATCGCAAAGTGCCAACACGGCAATTTAACCTGAATACTGAAGTTTTACTTAAGAAACTTTATTTCTACATTAACTTAAGATGATCCAAACAATGTAAGGAAAGCAACCCCAAATGCTTTCATTTACTTAAAAATATTTGGCAGAGAATTCGACACTTTAATGATGGTCTGGGCCTGGCTGGGGTGATGGCACGCGTGCCCACAGAGAGGGCTCTGAGTGCCACCTCTGGCACCCGTGCCATAGGTTCGCCACCACTGTTCTAGGTGGTCAGCTGTGTTGGTCTGAAGCAGTAAAACAAATTTAGAGTCCAGTGGCACCTTTAAGACCAACAAAGGTTTATTCACAGTAAGAGCTTTTGTGTGCATACACACATCTTCCACAAAAAAAAAGTGTGCATGCACATGAAAGCTCATACCTTGAATGAACCTTTGTTGGTCTTAAAGGTACCACTGGACTCTAAATATGTTCTATCATTTTACACTGGACTCTAAATATGTTCTATCATTTTAAGGTATAACACCATATAGCAATCTGAAAACACTTTCCAGAACACAGTGTTTAGGTAGCCATAGATCGCAGGGATCAGTACTTGGTCCAATAATTTTTAACTTGTTCATTAATGATTTGGAGTTGGGAGTAAGCAGTGCAGTGGCTAAATTTGCGGATGACACTAAATTGTTCAGGGTGGTGAGAACCAGGGAGGATTGTGAGGCACTCCAAAGGGATCTGTCGAGGATGGGCAACTAGGTAACAATGTGGCAAGTGGGGTTCAATGTGGCCAAGTGCACAGTGATGCACACTGGACCAAAAATCCTAACTATAAATACATGTTGATGGGGTCTGAGCTAGCAGAGACTGACCAAGAGAGAGATCTTGGAGTCGTAGTAGATAACTCACTGAAAATGTCCAGACAGTGTGTGACTGCAATGAAAAAGGCCAACACTATGCTGGGTATTATTAGGAAGGGAATTGAAAACAAATCAGCCAGTATCATAATGCCCCTGTATAAATCGATGGTGTGACCTCATTTGGAATACTGTGTGCAATTCTGGTCACCTCAAAAAGGATATTATAGCATTAGAAAAAGTGCAGAAAAGGGCAACTACAATGATAAAAGGGTTGGAACACTTTCCCTATGAAGAAAGTTTAAGGCGCTTAGGTCTCTTTAGGTTGGAGAAATGACGACTGAGGGGTGACATGATAGAGGGTTATAAGATTATGCATGGGATAGAACAGGTCGAGAAAGAGGTACTTTTCTCCCTTTCTCACAATACAAGAACTCGTGGGCACTCCATGAAATTGCTGAGTGGTTGGGTTAGAACGGATAAAATGAAGTACTTCTTCACCCAAAGAGTGATTAACACATGGAATTCGCTGCCACAGGAGGTGGTGGCAGCTACAAACATGGATGGTTTCAAGAGGGAATTAGATAAACATATGAAGCAGAGGTCCATCAGTGGCTATTAGCCACAAGGTATAGATAGGAACTCTCGATCTGGGGGCAAGTGATGCTCTGTATTCTTGGTGCTTGGAGGGGGCAAGACTGGGAGGGCTTCTAGTGTCCTGGCCCCAATGGTGTTATTATGTTTTTATGCTTTTATGCATATCCTTGCAAAGCTCAACAGGAAAATGCCTTTCCAAAACTAACCCACACCAGTACCCTAAGTCTGCCCCCACCCTACTCTCAGAAATGGTCCAAAATTTGGTCTGCATCCATCTTCCACTATTAGAAGCCAACTGCATTGAAACTTTGAGATCTTTGAGGTATGCAAGCAGCTTCCTCTGGGTCTCTCCCCCCCCCTCCAAATTTGCTATATCTTCTTAACAATACTATAATTCTCTCATTTATTAACCTACTAGGATTCAACTTGAGTTTAACTTAGACAAGCCACACAGACCCCATACCCCAAATACTTACAAAGAAAAGCAGGTTGAAGAGGAAAAGGAAGTACTTCGTAACTTTCAGGCATCCAGATCCCATCTTCTCTTTTTATAAATCCTGAGCAAAACACAGAAACAGTTGGCCACATGAAAAAACAGCTACAAGAATATGCATCTTCTACTCTACGTCACCACTTGCCAGGAAATCTTTTGCCACTTCCTCCACCCCAGAAATGCAAACATTTCAATAGATTACTTATGCTAGACTGCTTTTCTTACGAGAAAGAGGGTAATTTTTTTCTCATTTAAAGATAATGTAGTCCACCACACCCGTATATCTTCAGGCTATCATGCAAAGGAAGTACACTATCTTGCTAGCACACAGTAATCTCAATTTGGATACAGCCACCAGGACTAAATATTTTCCAAGATATTGGGTAGAATTCTTTCAGAGCCCTGTCAGGCAAGACTAAAGATACCAGAGATCAGTCTTGTGCATACAGCCTTACAGCTGTTCTAGAAGTACATACCCTTTCTATGGTGAACTGCATAGAACAAAGGCAGTTACCAGTTGTGTAACTGGTTACCAGAGATACCAGTATCGTCTGTTCACAAACCTGGAGCAGACTCCAGTCATATAGACTACATGTTTGTTTGTTTTAAGATGCATTTAAGACTACTTGGCAGTAAAACCAAAACTTAGGCATACTGTGACTATTGATACATGAAACTTTCAGAGATGTGAAAAGGTTCAATAATGTTACATTGGGACAAGCATCTGAAGAGGCCAGAACTTTGTGATGGTTTAGCCTGTATTATTGTGCCACCCAAAAAATCTGATGCATCTCAGCTGAGGCATCCACTTGAAGAATGGGACAGTTATTTTTTTTAAAAGGTGGTACAATAATGTTCAGTAACATACCAAGGTATCCTGTGTCACAGGGGCCACTTACAGAAAAAAAGGAGGAGAAAATGACAGATTTAAAAGAGAGCAAGATGAATGATCATGTCTCATAGCCCTCTGAGATGGACTCTCCCTATCTGCAATGAAGTGCTGACTCCTCTAGCAAAGAATGGAAATTACCAATTCTCATTAACTATGTTGAATGACCACACTTCATCCTCAATGGCCTTCTGTGGCTAAGAAACAGGAAATGAACACACTGTCGTAAGAACAGCTATCCTTTAAAAATCATGTCCAGCAGATCTGTATTCAGCGATGCAATAAGGCAAGTTTTTCTGTTTCTGTACAAAACCCATTTTTAATCCTAACAAATATATAGGTCAATATTGAGGTCAGTATGGAATTGGAGCATCATTCTAATTGAGTAGTACTCTCACCAATCAGCGGCAATTTTCAGAAATACATCCATTTGTTAGATATTGCTTTAATTTTCTGAGGAAGGTAAAAATTGCTACTTGGATCCATAATATGGATAAATGTCTCATTTTCATCCTGGAAACCTACTAGTAATATTTTGGCTCTGTTCTTTCATTATAAAATGTATATAAATTGTTCATTCTTTTCAGGCAACATGGTGGCTGCTTGAAATATTCAGCTATACGCATTAGCAGCTCTTTTTGTAAAACTCAAGAGAAGCACCTATGAGGCAGGAAAGGGATAGAACACAGGTCATGGTGGATCAATGCAGTGCACATCTCATGTCATGTGAAATCATTATTCATTGCCCAAACACGCATCCACACGGTTCTGTCCCTGAATTGTATGCCTGTTCACCTGAACAAATTGATCAATTTCAAGCATTTGAATTGCACCGTTTTTTACAATAGTGCATCTATTTGTATGATAAAAGTTTTATATCATGTTACATTAATCATATATTCTTTTAGGTTGATGGGAAGGCAATACAAATGAGAGTCACTGCAGAAAACATCCTAATAATAAGAGAACATGCTTTACTTCTGATAAAACAGTTACCGGAAGCATGAGACTAATCCTCAGAGTTGACATCCAGAATAGACCAAAACTGTTTCATTAGGTGTACTGGCTTGCAGGCTCCAAGTATCAGGTACCAGAAGCCAAGCAAGGTGTGGTCATTCAGTCCGAAGTCGGGGGTCCAGGAATCAGGGAAAACAGAGTCATTCAGTCCAAGGTCAGAGGTCCAGAAGTCAGGCAAGGCAGAGTTGGTGGCTTAGCATCTATCATACGTGTTGCATCCACACAACCTTTCTTGACTGGTTTTATAGGCCCATGCCTAAGGGTCATGCTTGCAACCAGTTGCTCAGAAGCAATGCTATAAGTACTCATCTTTGTTATCAGAAAGCAGCTGGCATCAGGCCAGGAGGCATGCACTTTGCTATCTTGTCTGTAGCTCTGTTCACAGCCTCCATCTGAAGCGTTCTAAGGGTGTGATACTGGTGGGCTGGGAATGGCCAACTGAGCTTCACCTGCTTAATCAGGGCTGGAGGGTGTTGATGGCTCTGCACCAGCTGTTGGCTGTGAATCCTGACAAGCCTGCAGCTCAATTTCCTGCTGGTCAGCTTCTAAGCTACTTTACTCCTAAGGTGTCCTCTTCTGCTGAGGAGACTCCCTGTCACTGAGCCCTGGCTGTCCCACAACATTAGGCTTTTGTTTTTCTCCTTCAATAAAATTTTAGTCAGCACCAGAGTTGTAGTTAGATATTTGGGACTAGTATCCAAGCCAATTTTACGCAATAAATACCACGAATCTTTGGTGCTTCAAGCACTTGTTCTCCATGCCAATCCTTTCCTTTGTGGGGAAACCAGAAATGCAATCAACCCAGTGGCTGAGAAAGGATGACAGAGGACACCTTATTAGGATATGGATAAGAGCACTCATGCAGTTCAATCCTGAAATGCAAGCCCAATTAGCCTCCAACTAACCTCCCCTTCAAAGGAATAAAGAGGCAGGCAAGGGATTTCACAGCTCTCCCCCCCCCCCCAATATTTTGGCAAAGAACTGTAGTAGAGACATTTGTGGGGAGTTATAAGACAAAAAAGTCTAAGCATGCCAGAAACATCTTTTCTCACTGTAAGAATGGTACTAGAATTTTAAAAGCCTCCACAACATTTTCGGATTTTTTTTTCTTTCTAAGAACAAAAGACCTCTAATATACAGCTTCCTAAAAGTACCATGACCCCAGAGGACAGTGTGGTACTCAGCGCATGAAGCTACCCTGATATACAAATCAAGCCACCTGCTTGTATTCCTATTATTTGGGCCTAAAACCAGTCTTAAAAGCAGCTACAACTTTACCAATCCTAATGTATACTTACAAAGTCTTGAACACCATTGATCAACACTTCATGCCCTTTGTCAGTATTGCTGTTGCTATAAAATGGTCAAGAACACCCCTAAACTCTGTTAATGGCAACTGTTTATTATAAAACCCAAAAATAGCATCTGAGAACCTTCGAACCCCTTCATGACCTGAGTTCTGCCTTCTTTCCCTTGCCCTCCATTTTACTGGGCTCAAGACTCTTCAGCATGGACTTGTACAGGATCAGAGCCTTTCCTTAAAGAACTATGATTCATATTTGTTTATCTGGCAATTTTGAGCAGTTCAAGTCTGTACTATTGCTCTAGGAGGACTGGCTGCTACAACCCTGAAAGGCAGAGATGTTCCACCAGGCATTTGGTTGAGGACAGCGATGGCGTCCATCTGGCTGGAACTCTCACCCCCTCCCCTCTGCAAGATGGTAGCACAACTGGAAATTTCGACCATCTGTTTAATTTTGAATAGATACCAAAATCTTATTGTAATTTTTAAATGTTTCTAACTATATGATATGTTTTAGTATGCCATTGTGTACTGCCCTGAGCCTTGTTTTAGGGAATGGGTGCTATAAAAATTGAATGTAATAAACTCTGTTGCTTATAAATCTTCCTCCCTCCCCACCCCTCCTAGCCAATGCACACTCCAAAAGAGGGTTTGCATTTGATCCTATGCATAAAGTCCCATTGAGTTGAATGGGGCTGACTCCCATACAGCCATGTGTACAATCACAGCATCCCTTGTTCGGCTTCTTACTGTCTCCCACTCTGCCCAGGAAATGAAATGAGAAGTTGTTGCCTATTCCCAGGCCTAGTGGCTGCAGTTATTTTTGCAAAGCAGCAGCAATTTGTCATTTTAAGAGAAAAATGGCCACTGCAGGGACTGGACGGACTGGGGTGGGGGAGACTGTGGAAGTTGCTGACTCTTGTTTCCCTTCCTAAAGAACACTATGCAGCACAGTGAGCATAAGTCTGCACACAGTGACCTGGTAGTAAGCTGCAATGAACAGAATAGTATCTACTTCCAAATGAAAAAGATAGCTTCTAGATACAACAGAATTTCTCATGCTAACCATCTCTGGCTCCTCCCAAGATATTACTTTCTGGTAATATCACTCAATACAATGTGCTCTTTGTTTCTACCCAGAAGTTTGGAAGCTAAGTATGATAGATGCCGGTTAACACAACTCCAAGCCCCTTGACTCTCAGTCTACTACTATAAGAGATAAATGACCATTTCGTTTTGATGCAGCAAGATCTACAGAATTTAAACAAAAAGATGAATGAGTCCTAGCCATAAGGGGCACTTAAGATCAATCTAATCAACAAGATCATAAGGAGCTTTCCCACTAAGGTGGCAAGCCACAATCTCTTTGCTTACTCTGTAGCAGTTCATCCGGAGGGAGTGAAAACTAGCCAGAGATAACCAGCAAGGGGATGAATTGGCTCAATAAGCACCATCCATTAACGCTGCATATTAAATTCCTTGGCTAGATCAATTTTACCTCCAGCCCAAGGCTATTTTAAAGCTATGGAAGAGAGAATGCCAAACCCACAGAGGAGGGCCAGGTATGGTGTTCTGTTACACAAGCATACTACACCCTCATATACCTACTGTAAACTAATGAGCAGCAGCAGAATTAATGATCCTTTTGTTTACTAACAGCACATTCCCCAAAGGCAGTGATCCCTGAAGACTCTGGCTACTGATCAGGTTAATCAGGTGCATACTACAAAACTGGGTGTGTATGGTCAGCTTTAATAACCAAAGGTCACAAATAATCAAGTCACACCAGTTTTGTAATTAAATGTGTCCTGCCAGAGTAATTTCATTATCTGTCAACACAGAGCACAGTGAAATC